AAGAGTGTACACGCTATCCACTTAATATGCAGATAAAGAGTGTACACAGGTGTGATTTTCCAAAACGATCTACAATAAAGCAAGAACTTCCCGGATAGTTTCCTGATCCTCACTGACTGCATGTTGTAAAACGATGGGAAAATTAATTGAGTGAAAATATAATGAATTTAGGGTTTTATGTTGATGAGTAAATTCCACTCTTACTGAGATACTTTTAAATACTTCCACATATCTGGATGCATTACATGACTGACAGCTTTGAAGTTTTCTTGTCTATAAATGATGGTTTTCATTTCCAGAATTTTCTTTCCTGCATATATATATATATATATATATATATATCTATATATATATCTATATATATCTATATCTATATCTATATCTATATATCTATATCTATATATCTATATATCTATATATCTATATATATATATATATATATCTATATCTATATCTATATCTCACTCAGCTCAATTTGACACCAAGTTTTTTTTTTTCCATAGAAAGTCTGCTCTTTTTCCTGTTAAAGCTCCTTTTTAAAGTACGATTCCAGGACAAAGTCCTTGTAATATCCCTTCAACGTGTGAACTAAATCTCTGTGTGTTACAGGAGGAACTGATTTTGGAAATAGTCAATGATCCAAACTGTAAACCCAAACAATTCAGACACTCCTACCTGCGCAGCACCCTGGTCCTCATTCTGGTAACTCTCATGGTAAGACACGCACACGCGCGCGTGTGCGCGCACACACACACACACAATATCTGTAGTCTGATACCTAAAGAGTTTAGTGGGTGTGGAATACAGCGTGGGCTGAAGCGCTACCTGATAGGCATGATTCAGGGTAAACACATTGTCAGTAAATGTATCTCCCTGCACAGATCACGAACTGCTGACATGTTCACCTGCCCAAATGAAAGTGTTTCACAACCAAAAGATCAGTTTAATTTTCATGGAACAACAGCTGTAACTTCATATTATTGTCAGTCAAACAATCCTAATTATTTCCTGCTGATTTGGTAACATGATTGCATTCATTATAAAAAGATTGCTACGACGGTGCATTAGAAAGAACAAGCAACATTTGGTGTGTTTGTTTGTGTTCTAGCTGATACTGATCATTGGTCTCGCTCAAGCCCTGGTGGTGTTTCGAGTGGTGGCCGCCCCCTTGATGTCTGAAGGCAGCTGGGAGTTTATCGGGGATCATGCCAACACTGTGGCGATCATGCTTGGAGCCGTGCTGCACTATCTCACCATTCAGATCATGACCCGCGTACGTATACCTGTATCCTGATCCTCATGCTGCATTCACACGTCTGTATATGGGAAGAAAAAACACATTAACACATTATTCCAAGCTGTTCCTAGTGCTAACCTTGTAGCCACACCAGATAAGCAGCCTGAATTAGCTTCTTTTGTTGTGTTTAATATTTGCAGCAGTTCCTTACGAAGTAAAACCAGATACAAACAACTCCAGTGGTGGTGCATTTGCAGCCATTCTGCCCACAGTTTGTCAACATGTCTGAAGTTCTTTTCACCAAGTGGGAGATGTTGTTGGTGTCAGAAATTCTTGAAATCTCCAACTCCTCAAGATACCCTCACTTCGTTGTACAGGGCCCAGTTCCTGCACACTCAGCGTTGTGTTCATCCTGCGTTATATAAAGGAAGAGGTGTAACTAGTGTTAGCTGTCTCATCATGGGTCCAGGTGTGGTGAAAGAAAGTCACAGCAACGGGATGTCCTATGACCTCATCATCAAGTATGTTACTCCAGTATTTGAATCACAATACATTGTCCCGTGGAAACACAGGCAGTCTTAAATCACAGACTAACCCTAACCCTGCTGGAACTGAAGTGAATGGGGCCAAAGTAAAACCTCCTCCTGTCAAATAAAGCGCTGTCATGAACATGCTGCTATTAAGAGATCAGACTCAAAGCGTGTTTGACTTTTACCATCCTGCCTTGTATATGAGCACAACAGATTCTAGATCAAAGTGTCTTGACAACTTACACAAGTCAACTCAGAAGGGAGCTGAGGAAGGACAAAATAAACTAGAGATGGCAATTTGGGCCAGTGGCCCCTTCCTCACTTCCTACCACCTACTTTCGGCGCCCTTGCTCTGACCACAAGTGCAATAAATGTCACTTCTGTCCATCCTGATAGAGGGATCCTCCTTTGTCTTTTAAACTGACAGAACAATCATCCCACCACTGAGGAAACAGGAAGACGGTTCTGCATCTGATATTTGTGAACAAGCTTGTGAACACACAGCCTCCTGCTCTTAGTAAGGTCAACCTGCCGACAATGTAATAACTATCAAATGTCTCCTGTCTGTCTGTTCGTCTCTCTCACTCAACATCACCTGTAGGTAAACAGATGGGTGTCCCTCAAGCTGTGTCACATAGGTGAGAACAAAGTAGGAAACTTTGTTCAGTGTGTTGTTGATAGTAAACAAATGCAATAAAAGATCTAGAAATGCATACATTTCTCCATTGATTTAAAGCAGTTAATTCTAGTTAAAATATCTAAATACATTCTTTATATTGTGAGACCAAATCAAATATTCAAAGACATTTTGTCACATATCTCACAGTACATGAATGCATTGCCATATGTGTGTTTTCAGAGAAGACCAACTCATTTGCAGCCACAGAGAGGAACTTCACAGTCAAGATGTTCACCTTCCAGTTCTTCACTCTCTTCTCCTCACTCTTCTATGTGGCCTTCTTCCTGGGCAGGTACTCTGTCTGTAACTGTCTGTCTGTGCTCAGTGTGTCTCTTATAGTCCATCTACATGTCAGAGTGTCTGTCCATAACTGTGTCTCTGTCTGTAACGGTCCGTCTGTGCTCAGTGTGTCTCTTATAGTCCATCTACATGTCAGTGTCTGTCCATAACTGTGTCTCTGTCTGTAACGGTCTGTCTGTGCTCAGTGTGTCTCTTATAGTCCATCTG